GGCTCTTTCTGGACCGACTGATTGGAGACAGGGATAGTGGAGGTCTAAGCACCACACTGAGACTGGGGCTCAGGTGTGGGGGCTTGGAGTCCAAGTTTGGACGGAAACCTAGACCCCTTGACAAGAGAGTGGTGGGTTGGTCCTGCTTGTGCCTGGGGTACAAGCGGGGCGTGTTTTTCAGGGTACCCAGCTAGGCACATTGATTCGTGAATCGCCAGGTAATCCGGTACGACTTGTCTACAGTCTAGCACCGTAGTAAGAACTGGAAGATGAAAGATGATAAAATGATTATGATTGCTTACCATCTGCTCGAAAGTAGCACAGGTGCTTACATAGAATGGTTAGTTAATGAACTAATGATAACTGCTAATGAAATTGAATATTAGGATGCACGCTTAGTAATGCTTCCTGCAGATGCAATAAAACCCACAAGCCAGATAGCCTTGCATATCCTTGGAGTCTTTTCTTTTCTCCTGACGGGTAAGTCTTGCGGAGTACAATTGAGTACTCAGGGTTTGTTCTATCTTGTTGTAGGTGACAGGTGGATGCTTGAGCTAACACTTGTGTGTGGAAACCCCCTGGTGGGCTCAACAAGGATTTCCTTAATGATACGGACATAGAGTTATTTGAAACTTCCACCCAAAATGTTTTACAATGAAAAAACTTATAACCTGTTATGACGTATATAACGGATCATCATGTTAATGTTTAACTTGTCATTAAATAATTTTATTTCCGCTGAAACTTTGATAACAAGATTATATTTCGCTGTTATAAACAATAAATATTATACTCTAACGTTGCATGAAAAGTGATGTAAGAAATGGCTAAAATGTTGTAAGCTTTATACTCCCAAGCTTTATACTCCCATTTATAATCCTGTTGAAAAATGTGGATTTTCGGGTTCTCCCATGGGGTGTGCTCGACAGAACTGTTCGATATAGCTCCCTTTCGAGGTGCTTAGTGTCTAGTGGAAGACGAGTGCCTCTAAAAGCGTGCTATTTTGGGTGGTTCTGCCACAACGGCGGTGCCTGGCACCGGACATGGTGGTGACCTGCCCAACGATCAAATTCCAACGGCGAGAAACTAGCCGTTGGCCACCGGACAGGGGTGGCGGTGACCACCTAGCCGAGCCCCCCGAATTCCTTTCTCTCTAGATAAAAGGTGTGGTGCACTGCCGTACCCATGGCGGTGCCCCCTTCGCTTTCGGTGCTCTCGGGTGAAACACGGCGGTGGCATCGGACAACCCATGGCGATGACCGAGCGATGCACCGCCGCGCTGTTGCTATTTCTTAGCATCACTTGTTACTAGGTTGTCATCCCTAGCATAATGCCAGAAATGCATGGTTGGTAATTATTAATGACACTTGTAAACTTCAGAGAAGAATATATATATTAAAGTATCCGCAAGCGCATAGATAATATACCATTGTAGCATTTCACCCGGGAGTATACCAGGTATCATTATTTATATTTTTACCACAGGGAGGAGCTTATGGAGTGGTGTTGGCATAGAGATATTGATAAATGTGTATACTTATGATAATAATCACTCTCATGCTATTGCAGGGGTAAGTCAAAGGGTAAATAAATAATAAGTGTAAGGTAATAGTGGTATTCTAGAGATAGAATTAGAGACTCATAAAATGTAGTACAGTTAAGCAGGAGATTCGTTAAGAGCAAAAGATTCCTAACTCATTACTTATCGATTAAGTCTTTTGTATACCCTAATATATACACTCTTCATCTATAGTATAACTAACTCTGGATCTATGCATAATGAACATTACTAAGGAAGATCACGAATAGAGCTTGTCTACCTTCGCAATCACGTTCTATGTGCTCTACAAACAGGGAGTGGACTATAAAGGACTCAACGGGAGTGTCACATCCACGATCTACCACATGACCTAGAGTGCAGAGGGCATCTGTAGGCAAACAATATCTAAGCACCATGCTTACATAGTGTCGACCACTTAACTCACGCGCATAATGAGCTAAGCGCTTTGCGAACATGTGCATAAACTCATCATTAATCATAACTATATCAAGCACACAACTAGAGCAAACTAAGAACATAATAAATAGCAACATAATAATATTAAAGTAGCACAAAGTCATAAATATAGAGATACAATGGCTATACCAGTCTCCAAACGGCAGATCCAGAATCCTGAGCAATAGCCCACACTCTTCTTGAACCTTGCTAGCTAATCTATACTAGAAACTTGAAGAACTAGAGCTCTAATCTCTAATATCTGGAAACCCTAGTTTTCTGCCTAGCCCTGACTTATGATCTGATGACTTGATTCTTCCTAGAGGGAGGGGGGCTGGATTATATAGCCCTGAGGATACAACGTGAGTCCTTAGATCAAACCGACCTAAGCAACGGCTTAGATACATCCTAGGAGGCAGTGGGAAACCGACATAGCAACGAGGCTGACAGGTGGGCCCCTAATGGGCCGGTCGGCCTCCGCTTCGGTGACGTGGCTTCTGGAGTCCCCTAGAACCTTCTGGAGTTGGTTTCACAGCGGAATTCTGATTTTTCCTTTGACGTTTAAGTCCCTCTTGTTGGTTTTCTGATTAAACCCTGCTGAAAATACAGATTCACCAAAACTCATGGAATTTATTAGTTTAAACCCCTAAACCTTCATTTGTGATTATATTTATGCCCTTATACATGTTTAATTGACGGTTAAAATTGGTTGTTAACTACCGTCAACATGCGCCCATGGCGGTGTACACCGGCATGTCCGATGACCACCCCAAACCGGCCGCTCTCGGCCCTTCTCTGCTGAGCCCAGGTGGGCACCACCCTAGGGGTGGTGGTGCCACCGGACAGGGGGTGGCGGTGCTACCCCGACATCACCACTAGCTCTCCGAGTTACAAACTTTTGCGCGATTCGATCCACGTCAACTCGAGTTACTCCCGCAAGTGATGCTTACTCTCAAGATGTTTTCTCAAAATATGTTAGAGTCAAGTTAGCATTTCTCAAAAAAAATCATAAATATTTTCGCTTGCTCTCCAATGTGCACTAGGCCTAAATGCAATGCATGAGGTCCAACACCTAGTGGCACTAGATGAACGAATTATCTAGTTAAGAACATCTCTTAATAGTACGACCATCTATCCTAAACGTGATCACACTCTCTATAGTGTCTTGATCACCGAAACAAAGTCTCTATTTATACCTTTGTCTTGAGCTCCATAGGGTTTTGTTTTTCTCTTTCTTCTTTTTCAAGTTGAGCACTTTCATCATCACATGTGGCTATCTTATCATTTCATGTGATCATCACCTTCTCTTGAGTGCCACCATGCTTCATACTTGGATTGCACCAACCTAGCTCATCTCACCACTCATGACAAAGGTTAGTGCTAGGTTTCATCAATTATTCAAAACCAAACTAGGGCTTTCAACGAGGTGACGCAGATCTGGCTTGGCGGATTGAGCACTATACCGAGTGGCGACGCCGTGGTATTACGGGCTTACGGCGAGCTTGACCACAAGGCAACATTTTTTAATTTTGTAATAGACTATCACCGCCACTTTGTGTAACCGTTCGGTTTGCAGCCGGCGGTAATGAGCTCAATTATCACCGCTGACTTTTATCACCAAATCACAAAACTAGCTGTGGTAACGATCTGGTTTGCAGCCGATAGTAATGAGCTCAAGTATCACAGTTGACTTTTATCACCGAATCACAAAACTAGCCGTGGTAACGATCTGGTTTGTAGCCGTCAGTAATGAGCTCAATTATCACAGCTGACTTTTATCACCGAATCGCAAAACTAGCTGTGGTAACGATCTGGTTTGCAGCCGACAGTAATGAGCTCAATTATCACAGCTGTCTTTTATCACCGAATCACAAAACTAGCTATGGTGAGGGTTCCTAACCGACAATGATAATATATTTGTAGTATTGATTCTTGATTTTGCTAGTTGGAAGTTCTGAAACGGCAGTCAACATAATAAAGAATAATCAAAGCAATAAATCTTTCAACGCGTAAAGAAATCCTCTATTGAGCTCCTCTGCATACCTCCATCCAAGCAAAATGGTACATGTGGCTTCTTACGGCGGGCGCGCCTCCCATAAGTGGAGGGCCCACACACACAGATGGCGAAACAAAGAACAATTTGTTTGTTATGATTTATAGATCTCTCACCACAAAAAAAAAATCTTCTCCTCTAAGCGTTGTTGCGTGCCTCCGTCCAACTTAGTTGGAACACGTGGCGTCTTCCGACGGTCACGTCTCCCATAAGTGGATGGCCCACACATATGGCTCCATCTATTATAAGCGGAAACAAATGACTATCTGTTTGAATATGGTTTGAATATGATTCATAGTAAGAAGTAAAAGCTACCATTTACACTTCCAAGCTGAAACAAATTGGGCTAAGTTGCGTAGTTGTATCACATAATTATTTTTTTACAATCACCTTCTGGACTGGACTCAAAAGAAATAGTCATGGGCAGCAGAGAAAGATATATCGCCTCTACTATTATGCTGTTGTGCATCTCCTGGATTGGGCTCACTGACGTCATGCCCTCACATGGAGTACGTTAGATACTTAGATAAGATAGTCACGAATGCCCGGTGAAACAAACAGAACAGGCATCGATTAACCTATTGCTCCCGCGAAACGGAACGAGAAAAGCACGCCCGGGATCGGCTGTTGCGTCCAGCTTTCGCGCCGCAACGCCTGTTTGCTAAGCAAAGCAAAACCTCTATACAGCTGTCTCCAACCATTTAATCCCTCATTTACAGCATGATTAGCTTAATCTAACCACGAACTAATGACTGCGGAGTACGGAAAATAAAAATCAGGCGTTTATAAGCGCCCGCACACGAAGAAAGTGCTCATCGCAAAACAGAAAAAAGAAAATCGAGGCGAGACAAGCGAGAGGAGAGCGAGCGAACGAGACGAGAGAGAGCAGTTTCGAGCTCGCCGCAGCGAGGACCGGCCCGCTCTCAAGCGATAAGGGGCGTGGGCGTCGGCATGGAGAGCGAGATGGCGAAGGAGTCGCCGGCCTCGGCGGCGGCGCGGGCCCGGCCACTGGAGGCGGTCGCGGAGGAAGGGCAGGAGGTGGCGGAGCAGAACCCGGTGGCGCCGGTGTGCTCCACCAAGACCATGGAGCGCGTGGCTGCCGCGAAGAAGTTCATCGAGGACCACTACCGCGCGCAGATGAAGAACCTCCAGGAACGCAAGGAGAGGTACTGGAATCCGTGCCCGCTTCCAAAATTTTTCTGATATAGGAGGTCTCGAGCTAGCAGTGCTTGCCTGCGATTTGGCTAGTGCTTGAGCGCCTGTGATTTAGCTAGATAGATCTCGCGTGAGGCGGACTGATCGAGGTGTCCAGGTAGCCTTGTATGCTTATGCTCCTGTGGGGTGGTGGGTGTGAGAGTTTGGGCTGCACTTCTCATGCATACTGAATCGGATTAGCATATCAGGGTAGTTGATTGTCAAATGTGGCTGTAGGTCCTACTAGTGCTGAGTTTTGGGGCGATGTTGGGTGGCAATTTTGCAGTGGATTGAGCTGTTGCTCATTGCTGCCCTCTTGGGTGGCAATTCTGCAGTGGATTGAGCTGTTGTGCGTTGCTGCGTCCGAGATAAAGCAAATTGTGACTTTGTGAAGTCTGAATTACTTGAGCTTGACTGGCTAGAATCATTATGGCGGCCGTTGTAGGGCTTGCCATAATTGGAATAAAGCTGCCTGCCGTTAGCAGTTAGTCGGAGGGTGCAAAGAAACGACGCTTGTGCTTATGTTCACGTCCTCGCTTTTAGGGAGAGGGGACACACGGCAGTTGATTGTGCTCTCACGTGCTATGCGTTAGCGTTACCCTTTGGTCGCATGCTGGCAATTGGCTTTGGGCATGATAATGTGGATAGGTCTTTGTGCTCATTCTGCTGGATGGTTACCGAATCAGGACTAGTGTTTCAGGGTGGTTGGTTGGGGAATGTGGCTGTAGGTTCTACTAGTTCTGAGCTTCGGGGCGATGTTGGGTGGCAATTTTGCAGTGGATTGAGCTGTTGCTCATTGCTTGCCTCTTGGGTGGCAATTTTGCAGTGGATTGAGCTGTTGTGCTGCATTGCTGCGTCCGAGATAAAGAAAATTGTGACTTTGTGAAATCTGAATTGCTTGAGCTTGACTGGTTAGAATCATTATGGCGGCCGTTGTAGGGCTTGCCATAATTGGAATAAAGCTGCCTGCCGTTAGCAGTTAGTCGGAGGGTGCAAAGAAACGCCGCTTGTGCTTATGTTCACGTCCTCGCTTTTAGGGAGAGGGGACACACGGCAGTTGATTGTGCTCTCACGTGCTATGCGTTAGCGTTACCCTTTGGTCGCATGCTGGCAATTGGCTTTGGGCATGATAATGTGGATAGGTCTTTGTGCTCATTCTGCTGGATGGTTACCGAATCAGGACTAGTGTTTCAGGGTGGTTGGTTGGGGAATGTGGCTGTAGGTTCTACTAGTTCTGAGCTTCGGGGCGATGTTGGGTGGCAATTTTGCAGTGGATTGAGCTGTTGCTCATTGCTTGCCTCTTGGGTGGCAATTTTGCAGTGGATTGAGCTGTTGTGCTGCATTGCTGCGTCCGAGATAAAGAAAATTGTGACTTTGTGAAATCTGAATTGCTTGAGCTTGACTGGTTAGAATCATTATGGCGGCCGTTGTAGGGCTTGCCATAATTGGAATAAAGCTGCCTGCCGTTAGCAGTTAGTCGGAGGGTGCAAAGAAACGCCGCTTGTGCTTATGTTCACGTCCTCGCTTTTAGGGAGAGGGGACACACGGCAGTTGATTGTGCTCTCACGTGCTATGCGTTAGCGTTACCCTTTGGTCGCATGCTGGCAATTGGCTTTGGGCATGATAATTGGATAGGTCTTCGTGCACATTCAGTTGGATGGTTACTGAATCAGAACTAGTGTTACAGGGTGGTTGGTTCGGGAATGTGGCTGTAGGTTCTACTAGTGCTGGGCTTTGGAGTGGGATTGCATGGCAATTTGGTATTGGATTGAGCTGTTGCTCCTTGCTGCCTCTTGGGTGGCAATTTTGCAGTGGATTTAGCTGTTGTGCATTGCTGCATCTGAGATAAAGCAAATTGTGACTTTGTGAAGTCTGAATTGCTTGAGCTTGACTGGCTAGAATCATTATGGCATCCGTTGTAGGGCTTGCCATAATTGGAATAAAGCTGCCAGCCGTTAGCGGTTAGTCGGAGGATGCAAAGAAACGACGCTTGTGCTTATGTTTTTACTTCCTCGCTTTTAGGGAGAGGGGACACACGGCAGTTGATTGTGCTCTCACGTGCTATGTGTTACCATTTGGTCGCATGCTGGCAATTGGCTTTGGGCATGATAATGTGGATAGGTCTTCGTGCACATTCAGCTGGACGTTTACTGAATCAGGACTAGTGTTTCAGGGTGGTTGGTTGTGGAATGTGCCTGTAGGTTCTACTAGTGCTGAGCTTTAGAGCAGGATTGCATGGCAATTTGGTATTGGATTGAGCTGTTGCTCTTTGCTCTGGCTGAGATATACCAGCTGTAGCTTTGTGGAGTCCAAATTCTTGAGCTTGACTTGGCTAGAATCAAATATTGCTGGTTTTTAGAGGGCTTGCCATTATTGGAATAAAGTTGCAGGCTGTTAGTGGGGGCATGCAAAGAAACAAGGTTTGCACTTATGGCCTCTTCCTCACCTTTTTAGGGAGAGGGGACATGAGCTGCTTGACGTGTGCTCTCACCTGCTATGCGTACCTTTTGGTCGCATGCTAGGGATATGTCTGCATGTACTTTCAGCTGGACTCGTGCTGAATCAGGATTAGGATTAGCTTTTCAGTGAGGTTGGTTGTGGAATGTGGCTGTAGGTTCTGCTAGTGCTGAGCTTTGTGGCATGATTGACAGGGAATTTTGTAGTGGATTGATCTTGGTGTGGACAAGATAAAGCTGATTGTTGCTTTGTGGAGTGCAAATTGTTTGAGCTTGACTTCGCCAGAATCAATGTGGCAAGTTTGGGAGGGCTTGCTGTTATTGAAATAAAGTTGCAGGTGTTAGTGGGAGCATGGAAGAAACTAGGTTTGTGCTTATGGTCACTTGCTCAATTTTAGGGAGGGGGGGGGGACATGAGGTGCTTGACATGTGCTCTGATGTACCATGCGTTACCTTTTGGTCACATACTGATTATCTCCGTACCTAAGGAACTTAGGCCATATTATACCATCTGTGTCTGTAGGCGCTTGATTTTGGAACAACAGCTAGCTTCTTCACAAGTTCCCAGGGAGGAGCAGATAAACTTAATAAAGGATTTGGAGAGAAAGGAGACTGAATACATGAGACTTAAAAGACACAGAATTTGTGTGGATGACTTTGAGCTGCTCACTATCATTGGAAAAGGTGCTTATGGACAGGTTTGTAGTTCCAATTTCAGCAATCATTTTAATGATTTATTCTTCTGTAGTATCATCTTTTCTTCTTATTATACTTCAAATATTTGCTCAATACCCGAATGAACAAGTTAGACAGGATAATCGTTATATGCAGTTGTGCTACTCAGATACATGTAACAAGACCTATAACATCTCTGGAATGCCTGGTCTTCACAATACAACTGCTGTTTTCCACAGTCTGACTTGTATACCTTGAGTTGATATCTTAAATTTTTGCTATTCTAACAGGTTCAACTATGTCGGGAAAAATCCACTGGTAACATTTATGCCATGAAAAAACTGAAGAAGACTGATATGCTTGTGAGGGGTCAGGTAAGACAAAGAAAACTGCACACTTGTTATGGCTTTTCTTTTTCTTTGTTAATACATATAACATGAAAAAGCATATATGATATTTAACTAATTCTTATATTTCTTATTTTGATATGCTCTTACACTAGCAATTATTGGTGATGTCAATAGTAATATCATTGTGAGAATTGTTTACTCATTTGCAGTTTTGCGATTTTTGTTACATACTTCTTAGTGACAGGCTGCTCTGTTATTGTTTCTTAACTATAACCCTGACAGAAAATGTATGTGTTTCAGAAGACTACAAAATGAAAATGACAGAAAAAACTACTCCCGCCGTTCCAAATTATAAGACGTTTTAGCTTTTCTAGATTCATGGTTTTGCTATGCACTTAGATATACACTATGTGTAGATGCATAGTAAAAGCAATGTATCTAGAAAAGCCAAAAACGTCTTATAATTTGGAACGGAGGGAGTATTTGAGTAGATAGAGTTGTTTTCTTTTTTTTTTCAAAACCACCTGGTATGTTATTTATAGCTCCCTTTTTTGCAATTGTTTTTACGTTCTTTATTTACTATAAAGGAGTACACCCCCCCCCCACCCCCAAAAAAAAGAAAAAGGAACAGTAAGGGTGGGTGTGTTTCAAACTTTGAACTTTATGATTTTCTGACAACCAGTTACTTCACATGATTTTAGTGAATAAGGATTGCTTTTTTGGTAAATTACAGTTTAGAAGTCCGTGCCAAGTCAAATTTTGCCTTATAGAAAGGGTAGAGGAAGTACTAGTATGTTTATTTGTCATTTATTTTCATTTGTAGCTAATATTGTCAAGTTTCTAATTAGGTGGAGCATGTTAGAGCTGAAAGAAACTTGCTGGCGGAAGTTGGTAGCCACTGCATTGTGAAACTCTATTATTCTTTCCAAGATACTGAGTACCTCTATCTTATCATGGAGTATCTTCCTGGAGGTGACATGATGACCCTCCTGATGAGAGAGGATACTCTAACTGAAAATGTGGCTTGATTCTACATTGCTGAGACTGTTCTTGCCATTGAATCCATTCATAAACATAACTACATTCACAGGTTACATGTTTATGAATCTGATTTATGTGGTATCCAGCATGGTTTGTTTGCTTACTGTTTTTTTGTTTATCAACGTTGTAGAGATATAAAGCCTGACAACCTACTTCTAGACAAGAATGGTCATATGAAATTGTCAGATTTTGGATTGTGCAAGCCAATTGATTGTTCGAAGTTATCAACATTGAATGAAGATGAACCAATGACTGATGAAAACCTTAGGGAGTCTATGGACATTGATCGTTCTCTCTCTGATACTGCAAATGGTAGGAGGTGGAGAAGTCCAAATGAACAGCTTCAGCATTGGCAGAAGAACAGGAGAAAATTGGTACACATGTTTGCCTATCGTGTCTCTGTAGTAACACTAATTCTCATGATCATGAACTCTCGAAGGTAGTTTATTGTCACTACTTTTTCTTCACATGCTATATAAATGTTTTTCCAGGCATTTTCAACAGTTGGGACACCTGATTATATTGCTCCAGAGGTTCTACTGAAGAAGGGATACGGACTAGAGTGTGACTGGTACGTCAAGAAGTTAGCATGCTCACATGCTTGTTATCTCTTCATCTTCCAAAACCTGATCTCTTATTCGAACAACTGTAACGTTATTGTTTATTTCATTATTGTATACAGGTGGTCTCTTGGTGCAATCATGTATGAAATGCTTGTTGGTTATCCACCGTTTTATTCAGATGATCCACTAGTTACATGCCAAAAGGTTTAAGTCTTGACCACTGAACGGTTCATCTTTTCATGGTGCAGATTGTCACATTGTAATAGTATGGTTAGATTATTTCAATTGCGATTGCAGTTAAGTTCAGATCTTATAATTACTTTCAGGTTTGTTTTTTGTCTTACTGAACTTTTTCATGCGATTTTTATGTAAGCCTGCTGTGTTAGAACACAAGTTTATTTCATGCCCGGGCCACTCTAATCTGGTATTGTGGGAAATAAAAAAAAAATGAGTATGCAGAAATGGCACCAAATGGATTTCCACAAGTTTGCTTTGTTTTGCCAAAATGTTGAAAGGGTTAGCTCAGATTCTCTGTATAAATGAAGAGGTCTAAAACAAAGTTCTTTTTCCTTTGGTTCTTAACTTCCTCTATGCTGATATAACTTGAAACCTGAACTGCTTATCTCTTTCATCAACTTCTGTTAGACCCATCTATTTAAACCCCCACTAATGGTTATATCATTGAGCAATGATGCACCATGTACAACTTCTATATTTTATAGTATTTGCGGCTGATTATGCATTATAACTTTACAGATTGTGCATTGGAGAACCTACTTGAATTTTCCAGATAATCCAAGGTTGTCTTTTGAAGCAAAGGATCTCATTTGTCGGTTATTATGTGATGTTGATCACAGAATTGGCAGCGGAGGGGCTGATCAAATAAAAGTATTTATTTCTCATTACTAAGATTACTTACTGATGTTCATTTTGGATTATATATTACTCCCCTCTGTTTATATTTGCTAAGGTTATGTTAATCATTTCTTTTATCCTTTTCTTAGGCTCACCCTTGGTTTCGAGGAGTTGAATGGGACAAGCTGTATGAGATGGAGGCAGCATTTAAGCCCCAAGTAAATGATGAACTGGATACACAGAATTTCATGAAGTTCCCGGATGTAAGGAAATACTTTTTGATTTGCTGCTTGTGCCATTCTTCCTATGTTCTTAAGCTCCCTGGAACTTTTAATATGTATTTGACTTGTTTTCCTGTATACTGCTTACTTTATTCTAATTTGCGTATACTATACACACTAATTACCCCTTTGATTCTTTTCTGCAGTTAAACCCTGCTCCAGCAAGAGCAAGTTCTGGGGCTTCAAGGAAGGTATGCGCCATGTATACATAAACAGGAGATTCAACATAGCTAACCTTAACCGCATTCATCATTGCATTCATGTTCTGGAGTCATATTAAAGACTGATACTGTAAATACATTGTTAGTGTGTTCCTGTTTGTTTTCTTCCGTTAAGTTCTTTGTACACTTTTTGTTGAGAGGAAAAAAACAGGCTAAAAAAAGATCCACAGCAGCATGCATAGTCTGTTTATAGGCAATATTTGGAGTACTGTTATTTAGTGCTGTGATGTTTGACAAGCATTTTTTATGGCTAGCAGATTTTTCAACTAAATAAAGTGACAAATGTTGGTTGACCCAAATTGTCCTAAAACATTTTGCAACTTGCATGACATTCATAAAGTTGCTAGCCTTTTCTTTTGTATGTGGTTAAAACTTTTGGGGTGGTTCTTTTTCTTCACATCTCATGTCCACCATAGGTAGGCATCAATGTAACAAACTACATGTCATTATTTGTTTATTCACCCTGAAGTTGATCATTGTTTTGGAATGTTGTTGCAGATGATGCTTACTTCTAAAGATCTTAGCTTTGTGGGGTATACATACAAGAATTTTGAGGCTGTGAAAGGTTTTCATCAGTCTGCACGTTTGTAAAATATAGTGGCAACTAACAATGTCATGTTAAATACTTCGATTGCAGTTGAACCACATGGTTTTCTCTTGATGATTTGTTCGCTAGCTTTGCAAATTATGTGTCTGATGAAACCATTTTGTTGACACAATTCATGGAAAGATAACTCCACTTTTACAGAGTTGTAAACTTGTACTTATGTCTAAACTTATCCTGCTGCCTTTATAACAGTGGTAGGAATTAATTTTTGTGGCCCCAGTTAGATTCATGCTAGAGATTATCTTGCTTATTCTTACAACTCTGATCCCTTCCGTCTCAGGCAGTAGTTGCCATAATATTCTGACTACTGGGTCCTTTTCAGATTCACATTTTCTACTCTATGCAGTGGGTATATGAATTATGTCAAATAGTTATGGTTTATTAGTTTTGTTTCTTACATGTGAAACATATATGCATGCAGATCTTCGGAGAAGCTCCTCATTTACAAGGCACTCTACTGGCTCCCCATCTGGTAGAGTATTTTATTTCGTGGCCTGTTCATAAAACCTCGTTTGATTCTCTGATCTTATTTGGATCGTCTATAATTAATCCCAGATACAACAGACATGGACTCATCAATGGAGCCTAACGGAACAGACACCCACATGCGCACTGGTTCTTCTGGCGACCCTATGGCGCCATGATCTGCCCTGTTGTTTTCCTGAAGTGCCCTGCCCGGCATCATGCATGCACCTCGACGACATGGCTACATCTGAAGAGACCTGGTTGCGGACTTGCATTTATTCAGATCTCGTGCCCTTCTAATCGTTGGCGAGCACCTTCGTAGTTGTACAAACCAGAGGTATTTGTGCAGTATGTTTCAGGTGAGACAAGATGGGCAGGTCTGGCCCTGGGTATTTACTTGAAGCCGGTTGCCCAGGTTGGCATAGTATTAGGTCGTCGCCTTCCTTGTGGCTGCTCTTTGCCCGTCTATTTAATGACATATATAATATATATGGTCATGAGGAAATGGAGAGATAATAACTGTGTTAGGATAGCCATTGTGGTTGGTTGACTAATTTGTGCCGTTTGAGACCCCATCAGAGATTTCTGTGAACTGCCTAGTTTTGTTTTTTGTTTGGGAGTGCGCCGGTGTCGCGGAAACTGAATTGTTCCCTGCAGAACCCATTCACTCAAAAAGGGTCTGCGCTACGGTTTAGGTTGTGGTGTTGCAGCCGAGTCATTGTAGCATGATTGTACTGCATAAATCTGAACGCGTGATGCAATTACAGGTTCCGCTGTGGACATTTTTGCCACCCGTTTAGCTGGCTAGAGTCCTGCCAATTAATATATCATGGCCGTGACCGTCAATCGGGGAGTCAATTGGCTGCCGCACGGCGGCGATCGCTGTCGAGCCACAAACGAGCGTAGCCGGACCGAAGGGGACGGCAATGTTAGCACCTGGCGTATATGGCAAGTTGGCCACTAACCCTTCGCAATCAGTCGTTCCGTCGTGGCCACTTCTCTGCAACTAAAAAATCTATAAAAGAATCGTTGATGAGCGTGCGATAAAAAATCCTGTACGACATTCTGCCTCTCCCCTGCGATCCCCGCCTCCTGCCTGCGTGCACACAATAACTGTAAAAAGCTGATCCTCCCGCCTGCATGCACACAATAACTGTAAAAGGCTGATCCGTCGAATCGGGCGCCTGACTCTCGTCCGTAAAAGAAGGCTACATAAGAGTGGCAGGCAGGCACGTCCCCACTCCCCTCACCACCGCATGCTATGTCGTCGTCTGTATTGCCCGTGCGTTGCTAACGTCGATATTTAATTTTACAGTATTGTTATTTTATCATGTGATATGTGTGTTTTTAGTATAAAAGTTTAGTTGTTCCGTAGCCATGCACGGGCACGAACCCAGTGTACCCATATTTTTTAAGCTCAAAGTTTACTCTGACCTTAGTTGCAGTCTTAATTGCAGGATGTCAGCTAGACAAGTAGAAGTGTATGTTCTGGCCTAAGTTGCTATTGCTGCCTCTTTTAAATCCTATTTGACTATGACTAAAAGAGAGATGTGCTATCATGACTTCTTTTAGAGAGCAACTCCACCAGGGTTCTTATTTGAACCCTCAAAACTAAATATGAATATGGGTCTCCAGGCCAAAACACAACTCTAGCAGGGTCTCTACTAGAGCCCTCACATTTTGGTGGGTACCCAAATTCCCCCTCCGGGTCTTCAATCTTGGGGGCCCTAGGCCAAGCCCTCAAAAGACAATTTTAGTCTATTTTCTGTCCGCCTTCTCTCCCGTTCGCTCCCTCCCTCCCTGCACGTGCCCCTTTTCCCCCTAGCCCGTGCGGACATCACGGCCCACCATCGGCATAAGCGCCCATCGTCTGGTTTCAGTGCTAGCCGCCCGTGTGCTCCCACGTACGTGGACTCGTCCCAGTGGGAGTGGATGCGGCGGACTCCTCCCCGGTGCTCCTTGCAAGAGTAGAGCAAACTTCTCTCGCGCGCTGCTTGGATTGCTCCCTGGTGAGGCTTGCGGGAGCGGACTCCTTTCGGTGGGAGTGGGTTCCTCCCTAGTGCAGACTCGTCCTAGTGGGAGCCCCTGCGACGGACTTCTCCCCTACGAGGCTTGCGGGAGCTAACTCCTCCTGACGCGGACTCGTCTCTGCGGAGGCAGACGGGCTCTGCATCTGCTCTAGATCTCGATGAGATTGAGGATCGAAAGAACACAGAATGATGGGCGGGTCTCGTGTGTCAGTATCTATAAAAAAGGATTTGAGGGCTCCTGCTGGAGCAAATGCAAAAAGTCGATCGTCAAAAATAAGTGGAGCTCTCAAATCAAAAGTAGCGGCCCTGATTTGAGAGCTTTTACTGGAGTTGCTCTTAGGACTTTGAAGAATTCAACTAGGAGTAAAGCTGCTACTTGTATATATGGGCCCTAGAGAGGACTATATAAACAAGGGGCAACACCTACCAAGTCAAAATAAGAGTTTGGCCTGTAAGGAGCAATTAAGAGAGCTCAAGACAACTAGGTTAGACAGTTCTATTGCACTAGATTCATGTATAGGACAAGAATTAGCGGGTCCTAAAGCGTAAGTAGGGTTGTGAGAGGGCGATAATCACTTGTACTTTTTGGAGTTATGCCTTATAGAATTTGTGGTTGGCTTTGCTAAAATCCTAATCCCTTGTCATGGTTGCTTTAGTGTTGTCATCTATGATTTTGTACTAGATACGTCGTTCTTAATACCATACAAGCTTGTATCATACTCACAATATCCTTTCAAAATCTGAGGGCTGTTGCATGTAACCAGGGCATCAGATTCTAACAACAGGAATAGTGGCTATTAATAGGCTACACTCATAGTTTAGCACTGTTGTAGTGGTAGCGGCCATCTATCACTACCGCTACAAGGTAGCAAACCAAAGATAGCTTATTGGAACTTAGTAGACGCTATTGCACTTATGTCTGCTATTGTGGGCCGCTATTGTTGTTAGATCGCTACCTGCTTTGCATATGTATGACAACATGGATGAATTCAATGGGAAAAGGAATGTTGAGAATAGTGTTTTAGGTGATGATAAAGAATGACAGGATGACAAATAATATACTTTTAAATTTGTATGAGAAGTTAATGTTAATTTATCTACGTGTGTCTTCTTTATATCTTATTCATTTATATTACATTGTGGTTTTTATACAATGAAATCTGATAATTAACTAAAAACTTCTAATTATATTAAGCAAACATGTTATTGATATTGACATAAACTCCAAACTTTGACTACTTTAAGTATTCTGCTATTGGAACCTAACACTTGCAATTCACAACCCGCTATGCAGACACTAACCCACTACGAGGCTGCTAACCGCTATTTATTACCTTGGTTACACCTAATTTCTTTTCCTAATAACTAAAGTTTATCATATCAATCCATACTCTTGGGTCAAGTAAATTAGTTATCGAACAAAAACTACTGAATACTACTTTGTTTGCCTATTGCAAAATTTGAACTTTTGAATATAAGAATCTATCCAAAAATCTATATTTGAAATCTGATTATTTATAAAATAAAAATTTTGGTTTTAAATATTTCTAGTAAATCTTAAATGTGAGAGAATACTGTCACAATTAAAATAGATCCAAAATTGTTGTTTTTTCATGAGAATCACATCTCATTATCCCCCCTGCTCCCCCTCTTTCCCACCGCCATCACTAAATGCATCTAGGCTCTAGTGGTGATTTTTGGTTTATGATGATTGATGAACACAAGTACTGTGACTAATGTGTGTTTTGTAGTGGTAGTTGCATTTGAGTTAGTCGCTTCTTTGATTAATAAAGACAAGCATATCTAGGAGCCGCCTCCATAAATGGTCAGAAAGCCTCCGCAAATGCCCGCCTCTGTTCATTCTAAATATATGCCTCTAAAAATAAATTAACAACATTTTAATAAGCTCGTCTCTAAAAATAGTTGCATCAAAAAATAATTCATAATTTTTTTATTTCAAATTGGATCAAGACAAACTTTATATCAAAATTAAAGCTCTCGACGTGATCTACAACTTTGTAGTTGAAAAGTTTTTTATTTTAATTTTTTTAAGAGTGACAAAATATTGTTTGAAGTCCACATATTTTAAAATTTAAAATATTCAAATAAACTTGGATATTGACATGGTCTGCACCAAAGTTGTAGTCTTCAATACAATCAACAAGTTTTTAGTTGAAAGGTTTTTGATTTAAAGCTTCTAATTTTATAGATTTTGAAATTCAAAAGAATTTCCAAACGACCGTAAATGTTCACTTAGTGAATACTAAAGTTGTAGTGGCCGACCTGATCTTCTACATATTTGCTGTTGATATGTTTTCTATTTGAAGTTTTTAGGTTTTAAATATTTGTTTTAAATTCACATATTCTAAGACTTAAACTTTTTCATTTTTTCAAACAATTATAGATGGAGACACATCATATACCAAAGTTGTAGTGCTTGATAAGATTAAATCTTTGTAGTTTTCATCCGAGTTCATTTGGTAGACAAAATATTTAATATAAGATTACAAAATATTAATAAAAAAGATAGCATCCTAGAAATGAGTGTTTGTTATAGTGGTAGGGAGGTGCTATAGATGAGTAGTAGGTTACAGGTTCAAGTCTTGAGAAGCATCTTAACACGCCCGCTTGTGTAAATAGCATTATTAACAGTATAATAATTGGTTAGAGGAGTACGACTTCCCGAAAATTCTTTCTACAGTAGTTAATGTTTAATGAAACCTGTTTAATGGAAAACCAGGGGCCTTGATGATATCTTGTGGAATTCAAATCTTGCAATTGAAAATATTTGAAAACCTTGTTGCCACTCGTAATTAGTATTGGCCATGGCCTAAGGATTTTTTGTAAGTAATATGGAGTTAATTTGAGATAAACGGGAACCGTGCATGCAGTTGTACATTTTGAGAATCCAGAATTAAAATACCAAATTCCATGTATTTAGTGATATGACATCATATATTGACAAGATCGCCTAGTAGCAGCAATAGACGGGGTTTTTTTTGCATTAGAGGACTGCCCAAAGTTGAGCTAAGTGACTTCAAACTGAATTATGGTCTGACTGAAAAACCCAAACAAATTAAAAAGAAAAGCCCAAAGATCGCCTATGTAATGTAAGTTGATGTCCTCGGTGCATCATGATATCATCATCA